AGGAGGGGGGAAGCAGAGGGATATGGGTGTCGTGGAATTTCCGACCTTCGATAAACATATCGCCAGGCTGAATTTAGGAAAGATGATATCAATATAGGTGAAGGCCTTCACCATACTCCTAGAGCTCACCGTTCTCGAAGGTAAGTGTTGCTAGCAACCCCACCACTCACGACAACATCGCGGACCTGGATATTATTCTCCGAACACCAATTAAACGCGAGCAAGAGTTTTTCTTCAAGTTGGGCCACCGCTGCGGTCTGAAATCCACGTGCTAAGGCAAGTCTGGTGGACGTGTCTATGTTGTCAAGTCCTCCCTGGGCGGTGATATAGCGTTCCACATATGAATGGAGGGACGAGTACGAGAATGCTAGTCGACCTCTCAGAGGACGAGGATAGGGAGGAAGCTCCAGCGAATTGGCTTCAATAGGTTGGGCACAAAATTGCTCGAGGGCTGCGCCGGGACCTAGCGAGGTCCAACCTAGACCTAGCATTCGAGAGACTTTGTCGAAAGATCGGCCGATACTTTCGTCCGGAGTTGTTGCAAGGATCTGGAATGAGTTGAGAGACTTTGCAAGGAGGAGGAGTGTGTGTCCGCCCGATACGAGGAGGGTCAAGAAGGGGAACTTGGGCGGGTTTGGCCACGATGTGAGCAGTGGTGTAAGTGCATGCGCTTGCTACCAGACCTCAGGAGTCAGCCTTGGATGAGATTGCGACGAGTCTAGTGAGATACCATGTGGTGGACGCCCACTATGGGCAGGTTCAGCGCTGCAGCAAGTGTTTTTGCGGCATTCGAACCAACACTTAAACAACCCCCGATGCCTATTGCACACTCAGTATTTATTTGAGAATATCAGCACCGGGGCGCACCTGGGCCTCGCGTGAACGCGATTCCATCAATATCCTTCCTTATGTCCAGGTTGGCTTCGCGCAGAGCCCTTTTGACAGCAATTGGCTGGGTAATCGCGTCAAGACCGAGAGAATAAGGACGAGGATGAATCATACCATATTGCGCTGGTGGGCCTGTATTGCGACCATTGGGTGTATCCCACCATATCCTTCGTGTCTGTGGGAGTCGTGAGCCCCAGAGGGAAAGAGCTAGGATGACCAGACTCACAGGTCGTTCTGTTTGATGACGACATTCGAGAGGATGTCGCGGGAAGAGGTGACTACAGCGGCGCAGGTGTCGTCGGCTGAGGATTCAACGGCGAGAACGGTGAAGCAGCGGGTGGGCCATAGGCGTTTGTGCCAGCAGGCTGAAGCTGATGAGCGCGAGAGCATCTACTGGAACCGGTTGTATTTGAAATTTATGATTTCAACAATTGTTGTACTTGCTCAGCTCTTCGATGTGGGCGACGTCGCATCCGCCGCAGAGATCTCATGATCAGAACCGTACAGCATCGCCTGACAACGCCACAGACGCCCTGGGCCGCTCGTCCACTGACGCCACTCCCTCTCACCCATCCACCACCACCACCACCACCACCACCCTCAACTCCACCCCCGACGTCTCCTCCTCCAAGCGCCTCGGCTTCTTCTCAGACAAGCTGTCCGCGACTGCTCATTCAACTCTGAAGTCCTCGCTGCATCCGAGCCAGCTCCTGCATCCGCACACTCATTCCCGTAACGATTCCCATCAGCTCCCTCTGTCGCCACCCATGGCTACCTCTTCAAGCATGTCCAACGTGTCCAAATCCCACACCTCCCCCTCCAAGGTGGCGTCGGCTCTACTTCCGGTCATCACAGATCAGCTTCTTATGTCCTTCTTTTATTTCAGGCGTCGTATGGGCGCACATATGATTCAAAACTTGTGTCTCGCGAGATGCACCGTCTCGGCAATCTCGCACACCTGCCATCTGCGCTTGCCCCGCCAATTACCACTGCGCCCTCGGCCGCTTCCCTTGCCCTGCCTGCCGCTGGGACGCCCACCAACCTGGCCTCGACCTCAACCTCGGATCCATGGGGCGCGTTGCACGTCCATGTACTGCCGCTCTTTAACGGAGAACCATTGAGAATACCTATGTGGTGTCCATAGGTTTGCCACTTTGCAAGTAGTTCTAATCGTCTCTTCAGTAGAGACCTGAATGTCCTGGTCAAGAGGCACATCCAGTCCGTCGTTTCCTCCTCCCCTTCAAAGGCTGTCGGAGGACTAGAACATGACGCATCAGAGTTGATCGCTTCTGGAATGGTCACTCTAAACGCGAAACTTATGGGAATAGACGATGAAAAGCTGGTCGCTCGGGTGGTGGAGATTTGGGGCTTCTTCTGGGACCAGGTCCTTACATATCTAGAAGGGGTGAGTTCCTTGACGTTCTCTCCGCTACGATGCAGACCGACCTTTCTACAGGTTCTCCTACCATTGCAAACAGACTCTCTATTGTCCGCGCTTTATCGGACGCCCAAGCCCCATCACCGAGCCACTTCCCCAGGCCGACAAGGGATCTGCATCGTCGTCCATGGGCAGTTCGTCATCGGCTTCCCACATCGACGTGCGCAGCGTCGCCCTGCGCTCGTTTCGCGACAAAGTCATCCTCCCCCTTTCTCAACGGCTGTACATGCGGTTGTCTATACCCAATAGACAAGACAATTTCCAAGAAACCTCGGCGTATCAGCAGCCTCGATTGCAACAAATGTAATGGCCCTTACTTCTTTTCTGTAACTATGCTCACGGTTATGGAAGGCTTCTCGTCTTGACATCGCAACGGCGGCCACGGCCCGTCGCATTCTCCCTGACTACACCAGCACCCACGCCCACCGCTGGCGAACAGGCCATCACTGACCTCCTGCGCATCGTTCGCAGTCCACGGCCGCAGTACGACGCCCGAACGCAAGCATTGAAGAAGCTTGGACCGATGAGCCCGCTGTCGCGCGCCCCAAGCTTCCTCTCCGGCGCCCTACCTCGCGATAGGCGAGGGCGTATTGCCCACAAGCAGAATGGAAAGGTCCCTCATTTGTCGGGGCTTGGGCTTGATGTCGGGGAAGACGAAAAGTTCGGAAATGAGAAGCCGAGGGTTGGGGCCGTTGCTCATATGGCGGATCTTGAGAGAGAGCGAGAAAGAGAGTTTCTGGAGGCTCTGAGAAGTCCTGACTTGGACACCACGGCTACGAGAGCCAGTGTAGGTGGTTGGGGCTTAGGCGCTGGACATGAAGACGTCAGCAAGACGGCGGAAGAGGAAGAGGAGGAGGAACTGTTGGATTGGAATCAGGCTCAGGTAGGCTTGGTCCTTGCATTTGTGCTGTGGATTATATTGATACATCCCATCAACTTTAGGCCATTGTCGAACATATGGTCGGTATGACTTCACCGCCAGAAAGCAGACGGAGGATGACTTGACAGCAGGATGGATTCCTGTAGGGTACTTATTCATCTGGGTATGTCTGGGATATGTATGTAGTTGTAGTTCAACATGTATCATTACTGGTCTAGGGGATATGGTATAAGGGAGCCAATCCGAACGCTGCGGGTTCAGAATCAACTGTTCCCTGACCGACTGAGCTCCTCTAATCGGTTGAGCAAGGCATCGACCCTACTCTCAAGACCGGCCACGTTCCCTCGTACGACGGTGCGGTTCTCTTCCAGGCTGCCTTCCACCGTCTTTACAGCGCCTTCCAATTCAATTAGGGCCTCGTGCATCTTCTGCTGCTCCTGCTCGAGACTCTCAAGCGTTTCCTGAAATTCGGCGGCAGAAGTATGCAACGCAGCGAGAGTACGAAGGCGAGTGAGTATGTGCGGAATGTGAGGGAGAGATGGTCCAAGGCGGGATAGAAGAGGCAGAACTTGTTCTTGTATTTGGGAGATTTGGGGCGCTGAGTTAGGCTGGGAAGGATGACGGCGATGAGAGTGATTCTGGGCAGAGGCACGGTCGAGATCTGAGAGTAGGAGTTTGAGCCGGCGGGAGATTGAGTCGATGTGACGCGGTTGGGTCAGCAGGGTCAACTGTGCGTTCAGCCTTGAGATGAGAGGGAGAAGTGGGGCCGGTAGAGGAGAGGCCTTAATCTACATGAGTATTCCACTCGCGGATGAAAGGTGATGAACGCGTACCTCGTCTAGAGCTGCGCTGGAGGATCCAACTAGTTTTTCGAGTTCCCCAACGCGTCGATCCATCTCCACAACGCTTCTGACATCAAGCTTTCCAGTCTCATCGCCCTTGGGTTTGTCCTGCTCCGCGCTCCTCTTCTCCTTGGTCACTTCATCCCCTCCAACCAGCTCCTTATCTTCCCCAAGGACAGCGCCCACAAGCTTAGCTCTCCCTTCCTTTCCTTTCCTTATTTTATCCAGCCTCCCTCTCACATCAACGAGTCCACGAATCAGGTCGCCAGGATCGATGTTATCAACTTCCTTCTCCTTTGCAAGTAATGGATTGGAAGGGTCCGCCAGCTCAGTCTCCAACGCGGCCAGTTCGTTCTGGAGCGCTCGTAAGCTGATGGGAGAGAGGCAATGGGCGCGCGTTTGCGGATTCCTCGGACGGTGAGGGCGAAGACGAAGGATACGCGTAGCGTGTCCGCGGACGGTCTGAAAGGATAGAAAGACGCGAATGGTTACTTCGATAGAAACTCGCGGCTAGATGAGAACGGTGTACCACGTTTCCTTTCTGCTTTCCTGAAACGCTTACTTGCCTCCTCGGGTTCCATCAGGTTGGTCGAGTCGATCTCATCTTTTCCTGGGACATCGTTTCTACCTCTTACCTGCCCCTCGTTGGGGTTGCGCTGCTTCTTCATCACTATCGTCGCCTTTCTGCAGGATGTCACGATTCAGCTCGCGAGCAGGAGGCAAGAAGGAATTCTAACCGTAGTCTGCGCAGAGGGGAAAACGTCCTCGGTTTCATAGATATCTGGCGCGGTATCCTTGACAGCGATGTTAGGGATGGAATAGACAGGTAAGAAAGAACGAACGATGTCAGGCAGATCAGCATACTTGTTGCTGCTCATGATATGAACGAGAGTGGCGACCAAGGGTTACAGTCGCCAACAAAATGAACAGTAGGCGAAATGTCGAAAAAGAGCGTCACCTGAGCGATTCGAACACTCGCGGTCAAAGACCAACCGCTTAGCTACTGGAATAGCAGGCGATCCCGTTAACCACTCCGGCAAAGTGACCATGTAAATCTGTTGCCATATTTACTATACATCCCTCCTTTGCTTCCTCAAACTAACAACCACGGTCCGCCACTGCCGCACCCTTGAGTCCTCCTCCCACCATGGTCCTCTCCGAGAAGGAGAAGCAGCCCCTCCTTCAGGCACCCTGTTTCCAATCAAGAGGACAACGCTATGTCCTCGTTATACATGGTGGTGCAGGCACAATGTCCAAGGAAGGCTCAACGCCAGAGCAACAGGCTGCCTATAAGGCGTCCCTCAGCGCTGCTCTAAGAGCTGCAAGTGCTGCTCACCTCTAGCCCTCTTTTCGCATCTAACAGTACGCCACAGGGATATGATGTCCTCCGCGGAGGAGGAGAGGCTATGGATGCTGTGGTTGCGGCTGTAACGTCAATGGAGGGTATGTGGTGACCCCTCCCCTGCGTTCCATCAGTGTTGACCATCAAACAAGACAACCCACTTTTTAACAGCGGCAGGGGGGCCGTATTCAACGTCGAGGGCAAAGTACATTGTCTCTTCCATCTGATCTATATATCGCCTTCTAACCCGACCTCCTTGTTAGCATGAACTTGAAGCATCCCTCATGCTCTCAAAGCCTCCCGCATCCCATCCTGACATTCCTTCGAGTCGACGCGGACTCGGTGTCACTCTGCTCACGAGGGCGCGCAACCCGTGCCAGCTCGTCCGCGATCTCTATCTTGCCCCTTCCGCAGCCCCTCATACCTTCCTTTCCGGGGCTGCAGCAGAAGCACTCGGCGCGTCCCTTGGCGCCGAACTGGTCGATCCATCATATTTCTTCACCGAACACCGGTGGAGGGAGCACCGACGTGGGCTTGGGCTTCCGGAAGAACCATTGCCACAGCATTTGCTTCCTATTGTGGCCAAAGACGGCACTATATCACCGCTTGACCAGCTCCCCACCGGAACGGTGGGCGCGGTTGCCCTCGATGTTAGGGGCTGCATTGCGGCGGTGACGTCTACAGGTGGCCGTACAAATAAACTTGTAGGACGCATTGGGGACACCCCATCTATGGGCTCAGGGTTCTGGGCTGAAGACTGGGGCACCGTTGAACGGACCTGGTTACAGAAGGTATTGGGCAAAATATTCAAGGAGAAGAAACTTCCGCGTGCTGTTGGCGTATCGGGTACTGGAGATGGAGATGTGAGTACTAAGCTTTCCTTCTCTTGACTCTAAGCCCAAGCCTCATTTGCGCTTAGTATTTCATAAGGCTTGCGACAGCTGCGACTATTGCTCGACGAGTCCAATACCTCCATGAGCCGTTAGCGAAGGCGGCGGAAAACGGCTATCGAGGATCTCTTCGCTGAAGGAGGGATTGGAGGCGTCATAGCCCTTGATGACCAGGGAAATGGCAAGATGGTTTGCCCTGTCCAACGGTTCTAGCTCTGACACGTCTTTTTACTCCTAGTTGCGATGCCTCTCAACTGTCCTGGGATGTATCGTGGCGTTATTAGAGAAGATGGTGTTCCGAAGACAGCGATATTTGCAGATGACGTGCTAAACTAATGCTATGAGCAGGCTCTACAGGTAGTCTTATACCCTGACATTCTAGACTGGAAGCTGTGTCGAAGATTTCACTGCTGTGTAGAATTTGAACATGAAGATATTGGATGCACTCAATGACTTGGTGGAGAATGCACCAAGACCTCTTAGACGCCGATCAAGCTCGATGGACCTATAGCCTGTGAATGTGGACTCGATGAAGTACAAGGCCTGTGTTCCCATCAATCCCTGACTGCTCGCTTTTTCTAGGTGAAGAAAAAAATACAACGAACCTAGTTTCTTGATTGGGACATCGTAAAGGGATATCCAAATTTGGCATGTACCGACGATGGACGCTGACCCACCGATGCTGGACTTCAGGTCATCCCTTGAATACAAGGATGTCGCACCCCGAAATGAACAAGGACGCATTTTTAACGGCCGGTCTGGATCGACATCGTACATCCCCCTACCCTCCGCCAGGTCCATATCGAGGCCTCGAAGGTCGCATTTTCTCTCTCTTTCGTTCCACACATATCCACTTCCAGTCTGCTCGTCTACTAGGTCTTGAAGGCCACACGGTACCTGCGAAACGTCCGCGTGCGCGCCCCACTCTCCCTTCTCTATACTGCGTTGCGCGATGTCGGCCGACACGACCTTCTTCTCTATCGTCTCATTTATCACATTCATCCTCGTCGCTATTCCATTTCCGTGGCATCTCGAAGGTACCCATGAGATGATCTCTTCTCCCCGAGCAAACTGACACTCGACTATTAGCGTGGAACACCGGTACATGCCTGTACATGGCCTGGACCTCCCTGGGATGCCTCAATCTATTTATCAACTCCGTCATCTGGCGGGGAAACATGGTCAACTGGGCTCCAGTGTGGTGTGATATATGTACGTTCACGCATGTTATTTTCAAGGTGCCAATGTCGGTCTGACAAGGGTTGCGCCTGTAGCGACGAAGCTCATGGTCGGAACTTCTATTGCGCTCCCGGCTGCGTCCCTAGTGCATCAACCGACGCCTGTATCACATCGCTATCATCAGGACGGTCACCACAACTAAATCAGATGTACGTCTTCAACGCTACAATAAGAAGGAATGGAACTCAATCAGCGGACCCTGTAGAAGCGACGCGCCGTGATCACCGACTTGTCGATAGGACTTGGACTTCCAGTCCTCTTCATGATTCTTCGTACGTGCCATCAGTCATCGCTCTACCCTAGTCAACCGACTTAGTTTTTTTGAACGTCCAGAATATGTCGTACAAGGCCACCGCTTCGACATCTTCGAAGACTATGGCTGCATGACATTCACCTACAACACTCCTGTCGCTTATCTGATTGTTCAAACACCGGTTCTTGTTCTTGGGCTCATCTCCACCGTCTACGCCGGTGGGTACCTTGCATATCCTCGACGCGCCCTATGACTCATAATTCGGCCAGTCCTGAGCATCATGGCATTCAAGCGCCGTACGATCGAGCTTCAGGTCCTGCTCTCCTCCTCTTCAGGTCCCAGCCCGAATCGCTATCTACGCCTCATGTGCCTTGCGGGTATAGAAATTTTGTTGAGCATGCCTATCGCCCTCATCGGCATCGCAATATCCGCGCAGGGCGATGTCGAGCCGTGGATCTCCTGGGAGGATACGCATTTCGGTGGGTGACTTGGCGTCAGATGATGGAGGTGCATGTTGATGTTGATCATGGGTTGCAGACTTTTCGCGTGTGGACCAGTACCCGGCTGCGTTGTGGCGTGCAGATGTAGGGTACGAGGTTCGCGTTGGAGCAGGCGCGTTGGGTGGTGGTCGTGTGTGGCCTCTTTTTCTTTGCAGTTCTTTGGCTTTGCGGAGGAGGCGAGGAGACACTACCGGGTTATGTATATGGCCGTTACGCGGCGGCTGGGTGTTAACGTTGGGGAAGACGAGGCCAGCATGGGCTCGAAGAAGACGGAGGTGCGCATCGAACTCATTGATCAGAAATAGCAAGCCCTGACTTGACCATAGGTCCAATTTCAAAATCAACCTCGCACTCGGCACACATGAAGGCTTCGGGCTCGACTACGAAAGTGTATGTAAAGAAGGAAACCGTGTCGCAGCGCGACTCTTTGGCATCAATATCCACTAGTACGCATTCGTTCCAATTCCAGGACGTCGGTGGGCTCCTGTCAGATGCCACGGTGAACTTGGTCAAGGGCGAGACGGCGAAATCTGGTTCGAAGGTGGCTGCGAATCCGTCCTCTGTGGGATGTAACAGAGGCCGAGATTCCTCGAGGACGGCATCGTTCCAGTTCGAGGACGTAGGCGGGCTCCTGCCGGATCCGACTACCTCTAGCTCGGAGACGACGACTGCTGTATCATCCCCAGCGACGGAAAACGAACTAGAGCTCCCTGCGAATGAGAGCGCGCCGCTGCCAAGCGCAGGCACCACGGAGTCCATGTATAGGCACCAGGACTGAGCCCGATCCTGGCCCAGCTCTGCCAACCCGTGGTGCCGACATTCATGTGCCTGCACGCCCGGCCAAACGACCTTCACCGCCGCGAAGATGGAGGCCCCCAGCCACTGTGGCGCCTGTGTTGTGTCGTCCTGTCGATCAGGATCGGGATCTTGAGCGAGGCCTGGACGGTGGGGAGTCGTTCCTGGATTTGTCAATGTGACGGACATGTGAATACCCTTGTTGTATTTTTAGCTATGGTCTTATCGTCGCCCCTAATTTGGCCCCGTGCCATTTCTGCCAGTGACGTCATTGTTACAGTACAGTACAGTACACCACCTAATATTATAATCAATAATATTATAATCAACCTATGGGTTCGATGGTTTGGACAACGCCCGACGCAGACGCTGCCGCAGAGGACTTTCCTCTTCTGGAGAAGACGAGGTTATCGTCCCCACAGCATGTACCTCCTGACCAGGCGTAGCTGTGGATACATCAGATAGAGTCTCGGCGTGCTCAATGCCAACAGGCCCATCTTCCACCACTTCAACAGTCTCGCTCACTATCGCTACACGGGTCCAGCGGCGGTGGCGCGTGTACTGCAAGTCGTTTAGCACGTATTTAGCGTATAGACACCATGGAATGACATACTTTGCCCATTCCACCTTTGCAACTTGGCCCCTCCCACTTATTGTCCCCATACACCCAGCCATCAGGGTCAGTTGTCAGGTTGTCCTCCTCGCCGCCCTCAAAACCTTCCTCCGTCCCATTCTCTGCCTCTCCAGCAGCCACGGCCCCGTTCGCACTTCCCCCACCGATGATTCCCGACTCTCGCATCTTTCCTGCAGCTTTCAGCAGCCTGCTCCCAGTCGTGCCGCTTGCACCCGCTGTCGTTGGAGTTTCTTCTGGTATTGGCCGCTCGACGCGGCTGAGGGCCCCATCATCCCGCCGCACCACGACCTTCCATTCGGGCTCCTTCCAGTGCCACGTCGCCGTCCGCTTCACGCGCCCGCCCTTCCCATCGGCCACAAACACGGTCGTCGGCGTGGGGAGTGTAAACGCGTT